ACTGTGGGGGCGATATGCTGACTCTGTAAACCGCTTAGAGAGGGCTGAAAGCCCTATGAAGCGGTATATAAGTCTAACTGCTATTGCTATTGCTAAGTGTGATTACACACACAAGGAATTTGTTTCCGGTGAGAAAGTTCTCAATGTGCATACTACAATAGTGATAAACAACAGTATTAATCTTTGTAACCTCACAATTCTTTTAAAAATAATTGAATTTGTTTTATTTTGAATTTTAGGATATTTGCTGCAGCAGCAGCCTTTCCATACATCAAACTCATCAAATGTGTTTACTGGTAATTCTAGAACTGATGCCCCAAACTTACCTGATGGGTTTTGAGGAAGTCTGGTTCTTTGAAATGTAACTTTTCCTGCTCCCTCCTCTCTAAAATGAATGTGGAGTACCAGTGTACAACCCTTTGGTCTTTAAAGGTGTAAGCACCAAGTACCCATTGCAATATTTAAAACATCTGTGTCTTTTCTCAGGATTGTGCCATTGCCCTCTTATGTTCTCAAATACTGCAAAGCACATTTCAATGATGTGATCGAACGCTCTGTTTATCAATATGAAGTAATGTATAAGTGAAACTTGTAAGGATATTGTTGCAGTACAGGTATCTTCCCCAATTAAATCCCAAAATGGAAGCCTATTCTGGGTAACAGCTGACTCTATTCTTTTTCCCCCTGAGAATAATAAGTTGTTCAAAGGCTAACGCTCAAGCAAGCCAATTCAGGATCTTATCCTATCTTCCGCTGTACTTTTTCATTTTTACACTCTGCATTCCATAACTCTCCATGATCATTGAACAGCCTTGTTCTTTGGCTGCCATGAAGCAGGAATAATGTCCTTCTTGAGTGTCTTGTAAGTTTTGTATTTCTGCAACCCTAAAAGTTTCTCCACGCACACATACCCCTCCCTTCTTTGTATCAATGTCCTCACCTTACCTCATTTTTGCCACCCGGTAATCAGTGTCTTTGCTATTTAAAGTAGTAATTATGAAACAGTGTTAAGAGAGAGACAGACAGAGACAGAGAGAGATGTAAAGGTATATCACGGAATTTCAGAAAACTATGCTATACTTTACCAAATTGTCTTCTCACTTGCAAGTTATTCTTTTTAGGGTATGTGCAGCATTCATCCACCTGCGATGTCCAAGGGAAGCATTGTACAAACGTAACTACCTTTGGCAGAAACTGGGCATGGCTGAAGACAATATTTTTGAATAGGTTTCAGAGATTAGAAAATGGTTGTCATCTCTTCTGAATGAGTTTTGGTTGCCAAGCAGCCACCTAGTTTGATGATGTTAGGTTAGATCCGTGAGGACTAACCTATGGTAGCATGCCACAGGTAGCATGCAGAGCCATTTCTGCAGGCACACGAGCTGTCACCTCAGCTCAGCTCCACCGCACATTTGCGTGTCTCCCGCTGGCCAGCTGGTTTTCAGGTCTCTGCCGTGCATGCATGGGGGACAGGGCACGTGCAAGAGATACAGACACATGCATGGGGGCTCCAGAGTTCATGCGTGCATGCATCGGGGGAGGGATGCATGCAGGGGGCATGGGGGGTGTTAAGCACACATTGCATTATGGGTGCACGCACATACACACTATCACACGCATACACTGCTGCAGGGAACCATTGGGCTTATGCCAGGCTGTACTGATGTGACGGGCCGTGTTCCGCTGCCTCGGGGGGGACATGAGTTACAGCAATGTGCTTCGGAACTGGGCGGCTGGCTTTGTCTGCCACCGCCGTTGCTGTTCCGGGCACCCCCCCTCCTCCTTTCCTGCCGCAGCCTCTCTCTGCCCTGCCACCACCACTGCAGGGCTTTTCACTGCCCGACGCCTTAACTGTCTCAACCTCGGCTTTTGGCACCCTGCGTCTGGCCTCTTCTGCTGTGGTTGCCGCCGTCCGCTGCTGCCCAAGAGCGCCTCCTCGGACGCCGCTGTTTCTTAGAACATCTTGTCTTCGGCACCGTCAGTTCGGGAAGGCGGTGCGCTTGGGGATCGAGCAATTGCCCCCCCCCCAGCTGCCGCCATTCCTGGCTCCGGCCAGAGCCTCACTTTTTTCTTCTTCTCCGTTTACCTTTCGGACTACACCACCGCT